CCGACATATCTCTGGTTGTACTGGTCCATTTAGTTTTCTTGGCAAGGATACTGGAGTGGTTTGCCATTGCCTTCCCCAGGGATCACGCTTGGTCTGACCTCTCTGCCACAACCGTCCCGTCTTGGGTGTCCCTTCACGGTTTCGCTCATGACATCATTGATGTGCTCAAGCTCCAGCGCCTATTATGTTATGTTTTTAATTGTATCTATGACATTGTAAGCATTGAATTTTGCCCTGTTAAACACCTTGAGTCGCCTACAGGCTGAGAAAGGCGGTATACAAATACAGTAAATAAATAAAATATTTTCAACAGCCAGACAGTGAATAGTTTTCATGGAAAAATAGTTCAGAATTTTACACCAAACCCTTATTATGCAAAGGACCCCAGATTGTGGTGACCCACGAGAGAGGGCCATGTTGTCCTAGGCCTGGCGTAGACTGTTCGGAATTGTGGGAGTTGAAGTCCAAAACACCTGAAGGGCCCATGCTTGAGATTATTTATTTATCATGTCAGGAGCAGACCAAGCAGTTGTATTGCATTTTTTAACAAACAAACAAACAAAACATAAAGTTTGCAAGCTTGGTAGTTGATTAAATGTCCTTTGACCAGTAGCTGGACACTTGGAGTGCCTCTGGTGTTGCTGCAAGGAGATCCTCCATTGTGCATGTGGCAGGGCTCAGGTTGCATTGAAGCAGGTGGTCTGTAGTTTGCTCTTCTCCACACTCGAATGACGTGGATTCCACTTTGTGGCCCCATTTCTTAAGGTTGGCTCTGCATCTCGTGGTGCCAGAGCGCAGTTTGTTCAGCGCCTTCCAAGTCGCCCAGTTTTCTGCGTGCCCAGGGGGGAATCTCTCATTTGGTATCAGCCATGGATTGAGGTGCTGGGTTTGAGCCTGCCACTTTTGGACTCTCGCTTGCTGAGGTGTTCCAGCGAGTGTCTCTATTGATCTCTATTGAGTGTCTCTATTGAAAGGCGGTATGCAAATACAGTAAATAAATAAAAAAAATATTTTCAATAACCAGACAGTGGATTTTCCTGAGTCTGAATTTTCCTGGAAAAATGGTTCAGAATTTTACACCAAATCCTTATTATGCAAAGGACCCTAGATTGTGGTGACCCACGAGGGAGGGCCCATGTTGGCCTAGGCCTGGCCTAAACTGTTCGGAATTGTGGGAGTTGAAGTCCAAAATACCTGGAAGGCCCATGCCTGAGATAAACCCTAAGGAACTCTACTAATTTTAATGTATTGTCGAAGGCTTTCATGGCTGGAATCACTAGGTTCTTGTGGGTTTTTTGGGGGCTATATGGCCATGTTCTAGAGGCATTTTCTCCTGACGTTTCGCCTGCATCTATGGCAAGCATCCTCAGAGGTAGTGAGGTATGTTGGAGTTAGGAAAATGGGTTTATATATCTGTGGAATGACTGGGGTGGGGCAAAGAGCTCTTTTCTGCTCTGTGAAATTGAAATCCACAAGCATGTGGACAATTTCAACAGAAAGGAGGAGACCATGAAAATGAACAAAATCTGGCTACCAGTATTAAAAAAAACTCTAAAATTACAACAGCAAAACAGCAGAGAGGAAACAACCAGGCACATCTTAACACCGCTCAAGAAAAGATTCCCCCAGGCTCAGCCAGGCCTTCAAATGCTAATGAAGGTGGTCAGTTGAAACATTCACACCTAGCTCCAGCAGAGAAGAGTCCTTTGTCTCACCCTGGTCATTCCACAGATATATAAACCCATTTTCCTAACTCCAACAGACCTCACTATTTCTGAGGATGCGTGCCATAGAGGCAGGCGAAACGTCAGGAGAAAATGCCTCTAGAACATGGCCATAGAGCCCGAAAAAACCCACAAGAATCTACTAATTTTCTTCTTGAATGTATGGGTCTGCAACTAAAAGTGAACACTTAGAAAGAGAAAGCTTTATGGGGCTGAAGGAAGCCCCTTCCCCTCTCCTATCCTTCTCATTATTTGAATGCAATATTCCTGCTTCTTGGCAGGGGGTCGGACTGGGTGGCCCATGAGGTCTCTTCCAACTCTTTGATTCTATGATCCTCCTCCTCCTCTGGGAGCCCTTCCGCCAGGCTCCTCCCACCTTCCTGGAAGAACCGGGGCCGCTCTACGTCACTTCCGGGGCGGCCATTTTGGAAGCCGGCGCCTATCCAGTCTGGAGGGGAAGGAGGCTTTTATCCGGGGGGCGTGGCTTGTGCCGGAAGTACCTGCGCTGAGCTCGGCGACGGACGGAGAAAGAGGGGGAAGGAGGGAGGGAGCAGCCGCCGCCTTTGAGGCGCTCGCCTGGAGTCCGCCGCTTCTCCTCCGCGCCCGGCCCCCGCCATGTCGGACTTCGACAGCAACCCCTTCGCGGACCCGGACCTCAACAACCCCTTCAAGGTGAGGCCCCTTCAAGGTGGAAACGCTTTCCCTCAGCCTCTCCCACTCCCTCCCCCGGGCCCTTCTCTGAGGGCGTTCTTGGAGGGCCACAGCCTCCCCTGACTGCGTTTCCCTCCTTGTGAGCGTGTCTGCAGGGAGAGAAGGAGCGAGCGAGCGAGTGAGTGGGCGGGAAAGAGGTTTGTGGGTGCGCTGCCGTGGGTTTGGTGGCGTCCTCCCGGACAGGTGCTGCCCTCTATTGTCACGACTCCGCCTCCAGGCTCCGAAGGATGCTCTTGCTTCTGCCGCCGCCGCCTACGAAGACACCACCATCTTCTGCCATTCTCCAACTGGCCCCGATTCTGTCCTGGAAATGCTTAGCGCCCATTCGCTTCCAAAACAACGCAAAGATCCATATGCTCAAACTGGGGAAACAAACAAAAAGATTTTTTTTTTAAATAGTGACACAATGTAAGGATTTCCTAAAGGGAATGAGGCGTTGTAGCTGCTTGGCTGTAGTCTCCTCCCAGGGCCCTTCCACACAGCCCTATATCCCAGAATGTCAAGGCAGGCAATCCCACATTATCTGAGTGTGGACTCAGGGCCCTTCCATGTAACCCTGTATCCCAGAATGTCAAGGCAGAATATCCCACAATATCTGAGTGTGGACTCAGGGCCCTTCCACACAGCCCTATATCCCAGAATGTCAAGGCAGGCAATCCCACAATATCTGGGTGTGGACTCAGGGCCCTTCCACACAGCCCTATATCCCAGAATGTCAAGGCAAACAATCCCACAATATCAGAGTGTGGACTCAGGGCCCTTCCACACAGCTCTATATCCCAGAATATCAAGGTAGAATATCCCACAATATCTGAGTGTGGACTCAGGGCCTTTCCACACAACCCTATATCCCAGAATATCAAGGTAGGCAATCCCACATTATCTGAGTGTGGACTCAGGGCCCTGCCACACAGCTCTATTTCCCAGAATATCAAGGCAGAAAATCCCACATTATTTAGGGCTCTTCAACACAGCCCTATATCCCATGATATCAAGGCAGAAAATCCCACATTATCTGAGTGTGGACACAGATAACCCAGTTCAAAGCAAATATTGTGGGATTTTCTTAATTGATATTCTGGGCTATAGGGCTATGTGGAAGGGCCCTGAGTGTGGACTCAGGTAACCCTGGGCCCTTTCACACAGCCCTATATCCCAGAATATCAAGGCAGAAAATCTCACATTTTTTCTGCCTTGATATGGAAGGAACCTGGGTGGAAAGGTATCGACTCAGATTACCCAGTTCAAAGCAGATATTGTGGGGGCCTTTCCACACAGCCCTCTATATCCCACAATATCTGCTCTGAAGTGGCTATCTTGATATTCTGGGTTATCAGAGGTCCCTTCCACGCAGACCTATATTGCAAAATGTCAAGGCAGAAAATCCCACCTTATCTGCTTTGAACTGGGTTATCTGAGTCCACACTTCCATATATACCAGTTCAAAGCTGATAATGTGGGATTTTATTCAGCTGTGTGGAAGGGGCCCCAGACTTGGTGATAAAAGATCTAGTATTAAGGAATAATAATAAGAACAATGAATAATTATAAATGTTATTTATTGCCAGCCTCTCTTGATGGCTTGAGGCAGGGTACAACAAATTCAAAAACATATGAACATAAAATATATACCATACAATGCATAGATAAAAACATCAACATATATTTAAAAACCAAACACAGATACAGAATTGACACATACTGGCAGTCCCCAGTTGGTGGTGGTGGTGATGGTAATAATAATAATAATAATAATAATAATAATAATATCTTTATACTTCACTTTTCGCCCTCATGGGACCCAAAGAGGCTTACAACATATTAAAATCATGTAAACAACAATCCAAATACATCAATAATAAGTATAAAACATCATAAAATAAGAATTTAAAACAATAATATACCTTCACATTATTGTGGCATCATGTCAGATCATATTGCACTTTGTTCCAGTCCATAGACATGGTGTTTCTTATCACTCCAGTTTACTTTCCTTCATGAAAGGCCTGTCTACACAGGAAATTTTTTAATTGATTCTTGAAGGAAGAAAGGGAGGTCGCTGCTTTATTTTCTTTTGGGAGGGTGTTCCTTAGGGTTGGGGCAGCCACCTGCATTTGCAGTGATGGTGGAAGTGAGAGTAGGGCCTCACCAGAATATCTTAAAGAGCAAGTCGATTGGTATGAGGTTACAAACAAGAAAGGTTCTGTAGATTTGTTTTTAAGTTGAATTTGTATGTAAGTTGGAACATGTACATTTTAAAATGTAACTTCTGCCAAATATGTATGTATGGAATAGCTTTGGATAGCATAGGGAAGGGATAACACTCTCTTGGTTTTTGTTTTGCTGTCTGTACACCTGTTCAGAAGATTTCACCTCACTTTCTGGCCCTGTGATAATTAGAATTTGAAAAATGTGTCTTGTTGTAGAAACAAGGATTGGTGAGAAAGTTTAAGTGGAGACACCTTTTCCCCATGATAACTAAGAAATAATTAGTTATAGGAACAGATTTCTCTCACTTCCTGTTATCTCAACCCTGTTCGTAATTATGAGTCATTTGTAAGCCAGATGTTTGTAACTCGGAGACTGCCTGTAGTAGCAATAGAATGTAAATCAAATCTCATGGTTGAAAGTTGGCTGGGTAGACCTGCTGGAAGAGATGGGTCGTCAGTTGCGTTTTAAACTCCCAACACCTTGTTTATCTGTTAAATCTCTTCCAGCAGGTCATTCCGTAGTCATGGGTCTACAATGAAAATTGGAAATAAATATGAAAAATTAAGGAGAGGCTATGCAGTTTTTAAATGTAATAGTACTACTAGTAGTAGTTATTATTTACTGCATTTTTATCCCACCTTTTTCCTCATAGGGCAGGGCTTTTCAAACATTTCATATTGGTGACACACCTTTTAGACATGCATTATTTCACAACACAGTGATTTGGTTTTACTAACAAACTGGAGGTTGAATCAGTCCCTTCTAAGAGATGAAGACACATACATAACTTGTAGTAACAAAATGTGTGGAAACACAATACATCTCATGAAAACCTTTCTTAACTACTTCACTTCAAGATGACGTATAAAATAGTTAAAATGCATATATAAAAACATACACCCATTGAAATATATATTAATATATTGAAAGGAGATTCCATCTGAACATTAGGAAGAATTCCCTGACTGTGAGAGCTGTTCAGCAGTGGAATTCTCTGCCCCGGAGTGTGGTGGAGGCTCCTTCTTTGGAGGCTTTTAAACACAGGCTGGATGGCAATCTGTTGAGGGTATTTTGGATGCAATTTCCTGCTTCTTGGCAGGGGGTTGGACTGGATGGCCAATGAGGTCTTTTCCAACTCTATGATTCTATGAAAAGTTATAAAATAAAATTAAAACATGTTAAAATCATTCATACCAATAAAATGGCAATTTGAAACTCTGTAGTTTAAAATTGACAGTGTAAGAAGGCAAGTTTGAATGGAATTCATATGAAATATATAAATGATATACAGTTGGCAAAGTCATGTGCTGAAATATGCTGGAATCAATAAAACTGTTAGTCTTTAAGATGCAGTAGGCCCTTGGTACTTGCTGGCATTTGGTTCTCAGACTCCCATGGATATCAAAATCCATGGATGCTAAGTTCCATTATATGCAGTGGCATGGTAAAATGATGCAGCATATATAAAATTACAAAAATAAGGTTTGGTTTTTGAATTTTCCCTTCACAATACTGTAAAGCTATGGATGTTTGGGTTTGTGGATGCAGAATTTGTGAATAGGGAAGGAGTATTGTAAGACATTGACTACCCTCCTACTTCATTTAACGGCTGTTCTCAAGGATCTCCTGGGGCTGCTTCTTTTGATGAGTATATCAGTTCGGTTTATTAATACAATTTCTGGATTACCATAGTTGTATCCCAGAATCATAAAGTTGGAAGAGACCACAAGGGCCAGGTAGGCCAAGCTGCAGTCATGCTGGAATACAGAGTCATGTTTTATAGAAGGTGTTTTCATGAAATCTGTCTCCCAATTCATGTTCCTGTAGTATGCATTTTAAAATGTACTTTCTCTAGTAATGCTAAATATGCCATTACTTATTAGAATAATTATAAACTCTAGTTGTAACATGCACATTATCCATTACTAATATATTTATACCTTTCTAGATCAATGATGTTGTAAAGCTTGCTTTTCCAGTAAATATGCAGTGTGTTATTACATTAATAACTTCTCCCCACCATGCTGCATTAGTATGAACTATTTCACATTAATTTGACAATTAAAGTCCCCCCCCCCCCCAAATAATGGGAGTAGTTTGAGAATGGTACTTTGATGATACTCGGCCCCTCTCATTGTCTCAATTCAGAATTATATGGAAGACAAGAGAGTGATTGTTAAACATATATTAGATGTTTTTGTATTGTTTTTACATTTTATTGTTTTAAATATGTTGCTAGCCATCTTGAGTCCCATTATTGGGCAAAAAATGGAATATAAATGAATAATAACAATAATGTTACTCTGTACGTTGTTATGACTTGTATTGGATCAAGCCATCTGAGATGTGAGATTTATTGGATGATCTTGTGCTAGTCACCGGTTGCCTCATTCGATTTACCTCAGAGGATTGCTGTGATGCTAAGGTGGGGAGGAGGAGATCCATGTGCAATGTCTTGAACATTCTGGAGGAAAAGTGGGATATATGTATAGCTGATAAAGTAATTAGAATATACCAAAGATCAGGACTTCTTGAAAAAGTAACAGTAACATTGTGATTTAAGTTTTCATAGGCTGAAGTCCACTTGGTTTGATATATACCTGCACTTTTGGTGATTTATATCTACAATAGTGACTTTCAGCATCAGTGTAAGATGTTATATGAGAACATAATATTGCTTAACATTCTTGTTCTGTAGGATAACATTTGTTCTCAAGTTGAGTAATCACTCCAAGACCTCTTTGTATAAA